ACTGTCAATGGTAGCATATCTATTTGTGTATTAGATGAGCATCGTATATCTACAATCAAGAAAGGAAAGATGTTACTTAGAGGGTATCTGTGTCCGTGTGTGTGTGTTTGCAGATTAATTTTTGATCTGTTGTTGTTCATGCATATTTTGACATCCTCAGAAACAGAGGTGAGCTCCTCCTTGTGAGTATGACAGTCCATAAAAAAAGGTGTAGGTGTAGCACATTATGACCTATCAAAATGGCAAAACTTCTAAACAGGAACCAGTCCCCAAAGCTTCAAAGGAAAACACAGATCTGTACTGAAATAACCCAAGACCTGTCAAAATTTTTCACACTAGAGTCAGATAAGTGAGTCTGTAAACAGTCTAGTAGTCTGGAAATACGTATGGAATGTGAAAAATTCTGAGTACCTCCATGCCAGTTTTATCCCTGTCTCCTGAGTGCTTGAATGCAACCCAACATAAATCCAGCAGCCAGGCAGTGTTGTGCTGCTGCTAATATTCATGTCTCAGTGCAGCAAAGTATTTCAGATGCAGCATCACATTAGCTCATCTGCCTAGCTCTTGCATTATTCATACCCCACCAAAACACAGGTGATGTCAGTGTCTAAATCTCAGCTAATATTCTCTTGGCTCCTGTTTGAATGTTCTGACCATCAAATGTCTGGCAGGTGCCTTGCTGTATCTCTTGGGGTAATTGCTTGGTTTTTATCTGTACTGGTCACCAAAAGGCAGACTTGTCAGTGTAGCTAGTTAAAACTGTCACTGGAATCTTCTGAGATCTTGAGTCACTCTCCCTGGTGAAAGGAATGTTTAAGTACAGAGAACAGATAATTTTCTACTTGCTGCTTATAAATGACAAGACAGCAGAGACGAGGCTTAACTGTACTAGGCACCAGGATATATATTTTTCTACTTTATTAGGTCTTTTTCTGTCTCCTAGTTTAGTTTTATAATTGCACCTTGTAGGGAGAATTTTTTCCTCTATAAATTTAATCAAAACTGGCCCCTGAACATGAAAACAACTTTACTGACCAGGGGTATAAGTAGCATGACATCCTGACCTGAAGTGGTCATATGCTGATGCCTGAAGAGGAATACAATCAGTATAAGAAGATATGGTACTTTCTCAAGGTATTCTTCTGCTCTCTGACTATACCTTCGTTCACAAGATTTCTTAAGCTTGATACATTTTTTGTATTTATGAGTCTAGTATCAATATCGTTTTCTGTTTAATAACCTTTAATATTTCTCCTTGCATGTTCTTCCCTATAAACTGCAAAACCTTTTGCATCCACTGTGTCTTCTGACTAGGAGATGCACAGTGTAGTATAGCTCTGTACATTGAAGCCCATCCTTTGGTTTGTTTCAACCTGTTTGCGTTGTGCGTTCTCTGTACTTGTGCAGACAGAAGCAGTTACCGCTGTACCATTTCCATGCAGGTTGTGATTTTGCAAGCTTCTAACTGCTCTTTTTCTTTGAGCTGAACAGTCTTATCCTACTCAGTGGTTCTTATGGAAAATGTTACTTTGCTTGACTTTTTACAGTTCTTCTATATTCTTTTTGAGGTGAGGGGATAAGAGTTTTGTATAATTTTAAAGAGGTTAGAAGCATTATATATTTTTTACAATTGTTTATGATGGATTATTTTGTTATTTTCTTTCTTAGTAACTCCTAGCATTTGAGTTTGACTACTGCCTCACGCAGATCTGCTGTTTACCTTAACAAATCATTATTTTCCATCCACAAGCCATTTCATTAAAGGAGCAATGATGGGTTCTTCACACTATGGGTTTTTCACCTTTTCAGCTTATCTAGATGTTGATTTTTTTTTTTTAACCCCTTGTATTTTCATTACTAGAGAATTAAAAAATAAAATAAGATTCAGTATTCACTGAGAGAAGAGAAGAAGAGGTGGTACAAATGTTTTTAACCATCAGTTGTTACATGTGAAGTAGGACTTCCCCTTCATGGGCTCAAATGGAAGGCACCAATTTAACCTGCAGTCTCTATGGGAACATTGCAGATTATTTGAACATCTGCATTGAGAACTCACTTGAAAAATAAACATGCACAATATAATAGGAGCATATGTGCTGTGTGCCAGAGACCACTGGCAATATCGCTGGCACAAGAAAAGGTAGCAAAAAGCTCATGTAGGTTACATAGAGGCATTCTGTTGAATAACATGTCATTTTGCATTTGTGTAGTGGTGCTGTATTTTTGTTGTGTGCTAAGCTGTATACTATATTTTTGTTATATACTAAGTTGCAGGTGGGCTAGCAAACACTCCAACCTGATAGTGGAAATTTAAGTGCCCTGAAAATTAAGCAAAGAATATCGATTTATGATAATGTCTCCCTTGTTTTTATGGGACTAATACTTTGTCTACATTTAGTTTCTACAGAAAGATAAGTAAGAAAATAATAATAATAATAATAATTAAAAAAAAAATATGGTGAGGATACTGCAATTGTTTTATAACAAAAAGCTGTTTATTACCAGATGCTCTCCCCATGAAAAACATTATTTAGGCTTCCCGAGTGCTTCTGTTTGTTTTCTCACTTTACTTTGAGTCTTTATCATGGACAGAAGTAGTGACATATTACCAGGGTCTGTCTATTTTACTGTTGCATTCATAAGTTAGCTGATGGGCAAGAAAGTGCATTTACAATTTTAATCCTATATGTATAGTACGGTACTATCTCTGCTAATCCTGCGGACATGAAGGTCACCAGATGATTCTGGATTTCCTCTTTTTCAAATTCCCTTCACATTTAGCAACTCTGTCTTCTAATATATATATATATATAATGTTATATATATATAATATATATATATAAAACATTAATATATATATGTTTTGTCTTTCAAAAGACAAATAAAGATATAAGTCTCACAGAGTACTCAATACATGATCCCCACCACTCCCAATCAAATTACAGAAGTTCGCATACAAGTGAATGAGGAGGGGGAAATACAGATCCGTTTAGTTCAGTTTTAGCATAGAGACAAGAATGCAGAAATTCTTGGCAGATTAAAAAATGATGGCAAAGATCCCTGATTTGCTCACTCATCTTTGTAGTCAGGGCTGCAGTACATAGGAAAAAGCACTTTGCCTTGTCTCGTCTCCTAGGTGCGCTCTTCAGGCTCTGATGGGAGGATGCTGACACCCTGACTTTAGATACAAAACTGAAGCACTGGTCCTGCAGTCAGTTTGACCTGTGTTATTTAGAGGATTTCAAAACCTATTTGGAGGATTTCTTGTTTTGCTTAACTTGTCTTAATTTGCTATAGGGTGGAAGGAGAAATAGCTGTTAAGTTGCTTTCCAGGCCTGTGTTATGAGAGGGTTCAGATATTTCCTATACTAAATGAGACTGCCTCTGGATGTGGTAGATTGGACTTTATTTATGATATTTCCTGTAATCAGATTTTTCTGATTGACAGCGGATATAGTGTGTCCTGTAAATATTAACTCTAATTCAAAACTGGTTTAGGATGGCTTCAGGAAAGAATATATATATATATATATATATATATATATATATATATATGTATATATATACACACACACATATGTATATATCTAATGACATTAGTACAAATGGACAGGGAGTGTAAAATTATGTGGTTCTAGATATTTCATATGCATGAAGTTATATACATATATTGAAAATTCAGTGTCATATATACATATGACAATGTCATATATACATATATTGAAAATTCCACTCATAGAAGTTAGAAAGGATTTTTTTTTTTAATTATGTGTTTCGGACAGTTATATAGGGCATAAGACCTAGGCTGCTGACTTTGAAGGACTGCTTGCATAAATGGTAGATTTGGCAAGGATCACAGCCTAATATTCTGTCTAAGTGAGAAACTTTTAAGACCATCCTGTTTACAATTAGTAAGAAAAAAGTGGTTTACTAAAAAAAAAATATGCAGTTTTCTATACCCTGACATGAGTAAGAATCAACTTTTAACACAGCCATGTCAAGATAAGATGTTCAAGAAGACACTTCAGCCCTGTTATCCTAGACTATTTGCCAGATTCTTTAACACTTTTATTCTTTTGCTATGCATGTGAAAAAAACTTGCAACACTACAACTGCCTATCATTTTATCACATAAAACGTTACACATTTAATTATAAATTTTTATGAAAATAAGAAAGGAAAAGTCTGAATTCACGTATCTTTTAATCAGGTGATCAAATAATTACTTCTTTTTATTATTTTTTCTAGTAAATTCTTTTTGAAGATGTCTAGACTCCCTTTCAATATATTAAATCTTCTCTGTGGGGTTACCTACTGTATGCATGCAAATCCTGCTTAATGTACCAGTAATCATATGAATAAATTATCCTGTTTCATGGAGTCATATGAGCTATTAGTATAAATGTCTAAACTTAAGATTTATCTTATGACTTTGGAAAAAACATCTGTAGCACATGCATGATACTGTGCTTTGTAGAATCAAGTTAATTAGGAAAAAATGAGTAACGTGTAATTAACTTCTAGCAAATTGTTATTCTGTACACTTGGATACTTGCCTTTTTATCATAATACTGGAAAGAAAATGTGAATGTTCACCCTTACGTACCTTGTTTGTACATTGCAATGAAAACTTTAAAATGTTAATCCTAGTCATAGTCACATTATAGGAAATAAGGAACAAAAAAAACATACTCATGTTTCAACATCATTTTTAAAGCCTGATGGTTACAACAGCTTAAAGTAGTTTTCCCATAAACATTACTAATACACAGCCCCAAAAGGGTTTAAGTTAACATCATATGCTAGAACCATATTTGGCTCAGTTATATTCCATTCCTCAAAATGCCATCCTGGAGGGAACTGCGTTTTCAAAGTAGCCAGTTACATCAACAAGGAAACTTCAGAGGAATGAAGTTGTAGTTACAGCAAAACTGTAGAAGTAATGTTATTTTTAAATACTGCCATTTACAAGCATACAACAAAAGTGTGAGGAAACATACCCATGTCTGCAGTGCTAGAGTTGAGCAGGGTATAGGTTTTGCTTTCCTCATCTTCTCAGCTCATTTTATTTCTCATTTTCCTTCTATTTTATTGGAATCTGGGCTATTGGAGCTCTCAGTGCTCTGAGAGCTTGCTGTGAACACAGAACAGTATGACAGACTAATTGCACCACCTCGTATACTCATCAGTGGTGAAGAGGGTAGCTGAATGCCACTTGACCACTTCAGCACTTCAGAAAGAAGTGGAATTTTCCATGGATGAGAAATGGGATCAAGTACAACCATATTAGATCTTTTTTCTCTATCGTTTTTTCTGAAGGATCATTTGGGTCCTTTGGGTCCAATTGACTTTATCTGTGCCATGTTTAGGAGGTGTGATTGCTCATCAATTTTAGTTAAACCAGAACAGCATGGGATGTCACCTATTCTTCAAAAGCTCATTCATCTCCCTGGATGCCTGTGCAGACATCTGTCTAAAATGCTGACCCTCTGTTTCAAAGCTGGATTCTTTAGATTAAAGTTGGCTTGGGTGTGTTAATTACATACCCATCTGCAAATATGTAGTTCAGTGAGGAATAGCAGGGAAGGAGAAAGTAGGACCCTCCAATAGGCAAGGGGCAGAAATGGCCTTAGGTTGTGCTACAGGAGATTTAATTCGGATATCAGGAAGAATTTCTTACCTCACTGTCTTATATTATATTTGGAGGTCTCCAAAAGCAGTATGAAGGCACTGCCTCCTGGTTTCATTTACACGTAGTCTAGCTAACGTATGTATTGACTCGCGTCAAATATGTCATCATTTGCACATATGCAAGTTAAAGCAAACCAAAGCCCTTTATTTCTAGTGTTAATTGACGTCACTGAGTGATAGTGAAAAAGGGTGGGTGAAATAATACCTCTTGATTACTTGAGAATGACAGAGTATGCAGTGATGCAGGATGAGTTGGTTATGTTGCACTGCCCAAAAGGTTGTAGCTAAGCATTGAAATCATTCTGGGCAGTTATCAGGCTGTTGTGATGGTACTTCACTGAAGAAAAATGAAATAAATTACACTTCTCTAAAACTTAACCTCTTTAAAATATGAGACTTACAAGACAGACTATTAATAACCCTGGATATATATTTTTGAAATGAATCTTTATACACAGCTAGAAGGATATTGGTTACCCTTTCTGCCATATGTTTATACATTCTTGATCCACATCCATCTGGCTCAGAAATCTGTCAGAGTGAGTTGAAAAGGCATTCAAACTATCTTAGAAGCTAAAAGCAAATTTGTACTCTGTCTTATGTAGATTACAGGAAAAATGCCAGTTTAAAAATTGAGTATAGTATTTGATATTAAGTAGATTATGCATTTTCAGAAATTTTCATTAAACAACTTTATTGCATCCTTAAGGGTTTTATATATATATATATATATATACACACACATATATATATATATACATGTATATATATACATATACATATATATATATATATATATGTATATGTATATGTATATATGTATATATACATATATGTATATATGTGCACTTAGTCACATGGTCTGAACTTTTGGGTAGACCTGTGCGGTGTCAAGAGTTGGACTTGATGATCCTTAAGGGTCCCTTCCAACTCAGGATATTCTATGATTCTATGATTCTATGATATGTGTGTATATATATATATATATATAATTAAATAAATCTATTAGAAGGATTTATCAGTTGGGATTTATACCAAGAGGTGGTGATAAAGTGTCAGCATTTGCTATTTGCTGCCAACTGTGCAACAACCATGTAGCATATAGTTACATTCAGGTGCTATATGGTAATCACTACAGCTGCCTGAAAAGTTCAAAAATGTGCTTATTCTAGGTAGTGTTAAAGATTATTGTAAATATTCCTCTCTAGCATTTTCAATAGCATTTTTATTTTTCAAATGGTTTTAAAATGAAATGCTTAAAAACCAAAATACTCTAGAGGTCTTACGTTATAGAGCTTGCAAATCATGTTTCAGCACTAGTGGATCCAAAGTAAATGACATGCAGTGGTTTTAATGTATATAATTTTTATTAATTATATTAAGAAATCTTTTCCTACAACAGTACATTTTTTTGTTTCTTCTTCAGTTACACTTAATTTCTATATCAGTAGAAACTTAATAGTAAGTTGAATTGATTAACTAGCTCTATTATTTAAATCGTTTGAAAAGTGAATAACAGGATCTCTGAAAGTGTCCCTCACCATCTCTCAGGCCAGAGTAGCCTTGTTTTTACTTTTAGTTAATATACACAAATACTATTTCATAGTGAGTTTTAAATATTATTATTTTTCTTAGCAGAGGAGTATCAGGATGTCAAATTACACATGGTCATGATTTTTTCATTTGCCCATTAAATTGAAAATAGAATCAGCTAATTTATATATACTCTCAAATTTTTATGTATTCTAGTATAAAGTTAAATCTTTTTGTCTGTTGAAATTATAAAAGAAACTTTCTTGTGGTCACTTCAAGCATGTCAGAAATTCATAGGAAAGAGGTAATACATTAATTTTGCATTTCATTTTTATATTCACTAGTCTTCACAAAGAGTAGTTATAGCACTAAGTATATTAAGCTTATATGGGTGAAATGTGCTTATAGGATCCAAATCACACCTGGCATTCACTGCAAAAATATTACAAATAATTACTAGTTGAAATGAATGTGAGACAGGCATTATTAAAAATAATAAAATTTAAACAAAATTTTAGTCCTCCACAAAGTCTGAGAGCTAGAATGTAATATTGTCTGTTTAGTGGCATAATGGTTCCAGCCTGAAAATAAATAAATAAAAATTCAGAGGTCTATTCTGCTAGCACACAACATATTAACTTACAGGACAACCAGGCCATAGGATAGTAGCAATTGTCGGTCTTTTTTTTTTTTTTTTTTTTTTTTTCCCAGGGACTGCCTGCATCTGGTGTCTGTCATGGTCAGACTTCAAATTCCAGTCAGTAAGACAGTGAGGCTACATTCCTTTCTGAGTTAACAAACAACTAAAAACTAAGTTTGTGATGCCTCTGTTCTTCTGAGAAACCAAAAATACCCTCAGAATTCCTCTGTGAAATTTAAAACCAGTGTTAGGAGCAACTGGCCAACTTCAGATCAGCAATGACAAAACCTCACTAGTAAGTTGCAAGTGTCAACATTTGCATTATTCTATCTGAAATGCTTTCATTTGTATTTGTTGCGAACACAGTCTATTGTGGAAATACATGTGAAGGGTATATAATTATAAGGATCTCTGCCATTGATATGCAAATCAGAATTCAATCTCCTCAATTAAATATGGATAATTAAAATGCTATTAGCATCCTGTAATTATGATTCCTAGCAATTCCATCAACTCCTTCCTCTACATAGTAGTACCCTTCTGGTGAGAACTTTGTATCTAGAGTCTTCACTAAGCAGCAGAGTTTTGCTTTATTTATTTATTTGTGTTTTTTTTTTTAAATTAAAAAAAGAGAAAAGTTAATAATTATCTTTCAGACATACCTTCTATATCTCAATTTCAGCAACAGTATGACATGTAAGAAAACATGGGTTTTGATCTGGACCTAATATATTTAGTAAGTTTTAATTCATGCTACATATGATTTAATAGATTCCCATTTTAATAAATCACCTTCACTTTACATGTGCATTTTCAGTATTACAAGAAGATTCTTATACTGATCAGAGGCTGTTTTTTACTGTTATATTGTACAATTTAAAAATACTAACTATATTGTGTCTAGTTCTATCCATATAAATATTATACAGCAGTCAATGTAAATGTTTGGAATAACCTAGAAATAATATAGATATTTTTTTTCCACTTAGTTAGCAAAATGATATTTAAGGTTTGATTATTTTTGCATGACTGTTTGGTGTACAGATGATCTTAATTCGGGAATCTGAAAATTTCTCAGCTGAGGTTACTTTCTTATCTGATTTCAAGAGTTCATGTGCTCTTGTGAAGTGTGATGTGTTACTGATCAAGGTCTTCTGACCTGGGAAATATAGCATTGCCTGTATATAAAGTTGCATGACTCATCTATCTAATGTTCCATTGAAAATGGTGAGCAAAAATTCCAGCTTCAAACTCCTATTTTCTGGATTTAAACAAGAGACTGCAGTGAAGAGGGCACAGCCTTATTGACTGTATTCGTCTTTAGGGAATCAAACAGCAGCTGCCTTGTTTTCTTCTGCTTACACTGTGCATTCCCAAGGATTTACTTGGGTAGTGTTCTTAATGTCATATCAATTCTCTATTACTAATGAAGTGTCACACCTGAAGAGTGTGACACTTCATGCCAAAAGTGAGACCCTGAAGAAGTCTTTCCCCCCACTATCTTATCATCCAGGGTAACCCCACATTCAGTTGTGATGGCTCAAGTCTGGAAGCAAATGAGTCTCTCGCTGTCCTGCACAGCATAGCCCACATCATGACATCCTCATGCCACCTTCACCTTTGATCAGGTTGCACCTGCTCCAAGTTGTAGCATTTTCCAGGATATGTTAGATGGTAGTCCACTGATAATATGTCAGACACTATATAAATTCTCAAATTTCCAGTACAAAGATAATGTATTGATATAGGACTCAGAAATTGCTCTTGAAGTCAGTGAGAGAAAACAAAGTGGAGATCCTCTATGGCTGGTATCAGCAGAGATCTTTCTCAGAGGAAATGTCAGTTCCATATCCATATCCATAATTAACAATTGTACCATGTGAAAATTATGTAACATAATTGTACCACATAAAAATTATTAGTGATCCCACTAGGGGATACTACAGAAATACACCTAGAACTGCCAATGGTAGGGTGGGTTAAAGCTTACTGGGATTCTTTCACTGGAGATGGCCGTAGTAGAGACTGTAGCCGAGACTGCCTTCCAGAGGCAGGGGACAGAGCACTTGGCACAAGATGCATGGCTGTCCTCACCATATCCTTACCAGCACACTGAGGCTTTTGCTTCTCATGCTGCTCACCCAATGTTCAGCCTCTGTTTTTCATCCTACCCAGTTCTGCAAGTAGCAATCCTTCCTGTCACAGCTTGCTCTTGTACTGAGCGACCCCGATGGATACAGAAGAAAAGTGGTAAGGGTTGTCCCTACTGGAGGTCTGAAAAGAAGATTATGTTGTGGATAGACAG